AATTATAGCTTGGAGAATACAAGAGGGGGAGAGAGAGAGAGAGAGAATATGCTATTTCAGAGTAAAATTAGCAAATCCCACAAATGGGAGAGGAGTCATCTATTTATAGTGTGATGAATTAAGGTAATGATTACTAAATATGTGAGTGGGGCAAATGTCATGCAAATCCTTCTCTACGTCCCATTGCTCACATGCCCGAGTGATTTCCTCGACTTGTGCAAGGATTGGACACTTGAACCTTTTCTAGCCTTTCGCCAACCTAGCGCATACCCACTGCACTGGCAAGAGCATGCTGCTCACGTCATCACATGATGTGGCTGCATCTGAGCGGTTGTAGAACCTTCTCAAGCTCTGACTACTCTTGCTGACAAGGCTCGGCGTCAGCCCTACTTTCTCAGGCATAACAACAATAGATACTGATATTACATCATATATATGATGATTAACATGGGCTGCGAGGTCCCACTCCTATTATTGGAACTTGATAAGTTTTTGGCTTTATTGCATCCCAGATTTGAGTGATTAGGGAGGTGGTGTTAGGTCTACAAAGATGGTTTTGTTTAGTTGGTGTCTTATATTGAGTTTGTGGGTTTGTGATTGGTAAATGACATTTAGCGAAAGCGTTAAAGCGAAGCTTTGGCCGATTAAAAAACAAAAAAAGAACTTGTTCGTTGAGAGATTTTTATCTTATCTTGTTAGTCGATTTGATTTTGAGAAACATTTTGTCACTACTAGAAAACAATTCTTTCAAGATGGTATTTTCAGACTAGATTACAACAGATTTCATTGTTATATTAGGGTTTGGCTCTTGATATCCCCTTTTTTTCTGATCCTAGGTTGATCCATCTCAAGGAATTCACAGTCATGAGGTCTTAGTGACAAATTGAAATCTGGTAGTTCTGGTGTTTGAAGAGCCCTGCATCATTGAAAATGAATAAATGTAACATAAATATCAAGTTTTCATATTTTCTAGAAATAATTTATCTGTGAGCCAGAGAGAGTACAATGAACTAAAATTAAATAGAAAAAACAGTAGTAGACACTTACATCTGAGACTTCCTTGATGCGACATCTGGTATTTTTTTATGCAAATGGTTTATAGCGCCCCAGAGTAGAGCTGGGCATTTGGGATCGGGCCCAAAAGCCCAGCATCAAAATCCGGTCCTTGAGAGGACCGGTCCTAGGAGGTCTGGTCCCGAAACGGGACCAGGCCTAAGGAGGAGGGCCTGGGCCCTCCTCCAAGGCCCGGGCCTGGGCCCGGTCCCAGGCCTAGGCCCAAATTTTTTTTGTATTTTATCCTTTTAGTCCCCTATAAAATTACATTAAACCCTTATTAATTTTAAATAAGTATAAATTATAAGGGTTCAAATAAAATTTTAAAAAATTTATTTAAAAAAAAAAATTATTTTAACTTTTTATAACCGTTGGCTGCCAACGGTCACAGCAGAGCAGCCAATGGTTATAACTAATAATAATTATAAGTTTTTTTTTTCATTCCCCCCCTCCCAACAACTACATTATAAATAACCCTAAAGTCTTTCATTTTTTTCACACTAATCAATCTCTCATTCTTTCATTCTCTCAATCTCTCTACTCCAAATCTCCAATCAATTTCTCATTCAATTTATATTTATAATTTATTCATATTATTTATTTATATTATTCAAATTTTTTTCTATTTTTCTATTTTTCAATATCATCATTCATCATAATTTCATATTATTATTTAATTTCTTTTCATTTTAATTATTTATTATTTTATCATAAATTTATAATGTCTTCCCCAAATGAGTTTTACGTTCCATCTACCGAAGAAATTGAAGGCTTCAATCCATTTTCACCATTTCCTCTAGAGGAAGCAGCTGCAATTCCACAACCACATTCGGTCGGGACGAGGTGTAGTCAAACACATATGAGATGCGAGTCAACGGGCACGGACATAGCCCAACCCCCCCGACCGTCAAAGAGGGTCGTGTCCGATGTCTGGCGATACTTCACCAAATCAAAACAGCCAAAGACAAATGGGGAGGGAGAAGAATCGTATGGGATATATAATTTATGTGAAACCATTATTGGTGTTGAGAAGCGGACTTCAACGATGCGACGACACGTAGAGAAGAAGCATCCCCAAATAAATGCATCTTCAAGCGGATTAGATAGACAAATTCAAACTCAACTTAATTTTAATCCACAATCCTCAACTCTCTCAACATGGCAATACAATACACATGTTGCACGAGAGGAAATAGCAAGATATATAGTTGCTACGGACTCTCCCATTTGTTTATTTGAAAATCATTTTTTTGTTAATACGGTTAAAATTGCATTTTGTCCAGCATATACCCCTGTTAGTAGAAGTACAAGTAGAAGAGATATACTAAAACTTTATAACAAAATAAATAATAAACTTAAAAACGAATTTCAAAATTTTAGGAATATATATATTGCACTTACATCAGACATATGGGCTTGTAGATCAAAAACCGATTTTTTAACTGTCACAGTATCATAAATTAGGGTTTACAACAAAAATTGATAGGTTTTAAACCATTATATGAAAAACATAGTGCTGAAACTATTTATTTTACAATTCTTGAAGTTTTGCAAGAATATTTATTAACTGATAGAGTTGTAGCGCTAACGCTTGATAATGCAGCTGCTAACACCGCGGCAATCTCTTTATTTGAAAAGAAATTGGATCCGTTTGGTGAAGGCAAATTTTATCACCAGAGATGTGCTTTTCACATCATCAATTTGATAGTTAAAGCATGTTTAGATGCTACACATTCAAAGATGGAGAGGGTGCGTAGAGCTATCGGATTTATCGTCGACGGTAGCAATAAAAGATGGCAAGAATACGTCAAATATTGTAAGCAAGAGGAGCCACCGGTTCGACCTTTGAAGTTATGTATAGACATGTCTATCCGTTGGAACTCTACCTACTTGATGTTGGAAAAAGCTTTGTCAACCGCAAAACAAATTACAGATTTCATCAACCAGAAGAACTATCCAGAGAAAGTTGTCAACTATGATGATTGGGCGATTTGTGAACTTTTTTATTCATTTCTTAAAATTTTTTATGATGCTACTAATATATTAAGTGGTATTTATTATCCAACTACTAATTTAGTGTTAGATATTTTAGTTCAAATTGCTAAAACTTTTACTCAATAGAGATATGATAACATTTTAAGTGAAATTGTTTTAAGTATGGAAGAAAAATATAAGAGATATTGGTTAGATATTCAATTCTTATATGGATTAGACTTTTTTCTAGATCCTAGGTTTAAATTATTCGTAGTTAACGGTGTAATTACTTAGTTAGGCCATCATTTAGGATATGATTATACGTCTTATTTGACTGACTTTAAACACAAATTGGATAGGCTTTTTTCTTTATATGAGAACAGGTACAATGGAAGTGGAAGTGGAAGTGGAAGTGGAACGTCTAGGAGAGGTGATCAGGACCTTGATGCAGCCCCCCCTCAAGGATCGAGCAAGTGGGCGTATGTGGAACGTGGCGGAAGCTCCAGCTCCAGTTCCAGCTCATACATACATAGACCAAATGAGATGACTCGCTACCTACAGGTGGACCTGACCTTTATGACGATGAAGGAGCAACTTGACATTGATATTCTTCAATGGTGGAACCAACATGAAAGTCGATTCCCCATTATATCCCAAATGGCACGTGACATTTTATCTGTGCTGGTTTCTACAATTGCATCCGAGTCAACATTTTCAACGAGTGGTCGGATTATTGAAGACAGAAGATGTTCTTTAACTGATGAGATGATTGAAGTGATAACGTGTTTACGGGATTGGACTCATGCAGAAAAAAGACTACAACAGCACCCTGAAGATCCCAAACTACTCGAACTCTTTAGAAATACAGATTTGAATAATGTAACTAGTGTTGACGATAAAATTGAAGATGAATAATTTAATAAAAAAAAATTATTTAATTGTTTATTTGTGAAGCGTGAATGTGTGAAATGTGAATATTACATTTATGTTAAAAATTAAAATTAATTATTAATTTATTATTTTTTAAAATTAATTATTATTTTATTATTTTTTAAAATTAATTAAATTTTTTGAAACTTACTAATCAACCCCTAAAAAATACTAAAAACCCCCTATAAAACTTCATTTCGCCTCTAAAATATAAAAAAATTATTCAAACCTATAGGACCAGTCCCGACCAGGCCTAGGGCCTGATTCGGATCTTGATTTTTCTCATGGGTCCCAAACCCATGAGTGACTGGTCCATTTGAGACCAGTCCCAAACGAGCCCAGGTCTGGGCTCGCAAGGGACCGATCCCTTCCCAGCTCTATGGCCCAGAGTGAAAGAGATGTTGACAAAACAAAAACATATTTTGACACTTTTTGTGATAGCATTGTTGATCTGACAGGTGATAAGAGATATTGAGTTAGTATTAAATTATCTTTAACTTTTACTATTACCGTTGGATTAACAACAATGAATTGTTCACAAGAAGGTTAAAAAGATTAAGTTATAAATTTAAGTCATAGTATTTTAACGTTACAATAATCAATATATCGCTTATTCAAGCTTCTTATAATTAATTACTTATAATTATTATAATTATTAATATAAATAATTAGTAAAACTAAGATGATGAAAATGGTATTCAATGTTTTATAATTTAAAAATAAATATTACTACTGGACTGTGATATCTTAACAAAAGCTTTAAATTAAATAAATTTTATATTTTTATTTATAATACTGGATTTGTTAAATAAAATATTGAATTACTAAAGGGGCCGAAAGAGTCAGAGCCGAAGAAGCTGATTGGGCCAGGCCACACATGGAAAGCAGGACAGTGTGTGTAGTCCATATGATTCACTAAAAACATCCAATTTGTACTACTTGTACTGAAACTCCAAACTCAAATAATACCAATCCAGTACTACCATTATTTTGCTTTCTTTCTCTTCCTTATTGTACTACATAATGTAAACCTATTTTCAGAATAATGAAAATAAATATTTCGTTATATTGATTTCATGATGTTTGCGATTGATTTATATATACATAGCAGTAATAGCCATGGGGTGAAAGAAAATAAAACGTTGAAATTACATGGAAAAGCATGAGTTGCTGCTACTTCTAACAGTAGTCACTTTAACTACGGGGGCATTTTTAGAGTAACGAACAGTTTCCCATCTTCTGCGAGCAGTTGGTCTTGGGAGATTCTCAGGCACAATAGTCTCTAGCGAATTGAGATGCCATGGCGGACACATTCTTTTATCACTCCATCTTGGAACCTTATTGTTTTGTTGTTCTGAATCTGCAACTTCTTCAATGATTAATGGTAACCTCATGTCTTGTTGGGCAAGAGCAATACTTGTGTCTTCTACACTTCCCATTTCTATTCCGATTATCATGCAGCACGCCATGCCCACCACGCACTCCTTTCTCCACTTCTCATTCTTCACGCCATGCCTGCACACATAAAATTAAAAATATTTTAACAAGTTGAAGAGGGAGATGGTGATGATGCTGATGAAGATTGTTAATGGTTGATTATATATTACCGTGGAATTTGAGTTGATTTTGAAGGGAGAGACGGGGGATTAGAGAGATTGAGGCAGCAACTAGTTGTTACAGTGGCCATGAAGATTCTGATATCTGACTCTATTAATATAAATTAACTTCCTATGCGTATATATATAATATAGAGAGCAGAGAGTGGTTGGTCAGATTACGGTAGTTGATGAAGAGGACCTGAACGGTGGCCGTTTGTGAGTTGAAACCTCCAATTACGGCACCTGTTTGCTATTGCTGGCCGTCTCTTGCCACATTTTTCTCTTTGGGGACGCGTGTTGGAAATGCCTTTCTGTTGAGTGTCGAATCGATCATATACACATGTCCATTATGTACTACTGTACTCCACCTGACAAACCAACGATATTTTTCTAATTATTTATCTACTATTATTCTATTTCTTTTTTTTTTTAAATCTAATTTATTAAGATAAATATTTAAAGTTTACTTAGATTTAAATTTAAGCACGTGCTGATGTGATCACATGCGAAAGATTCATACCAACCGTTAATCAAATTAATTAAATTATTTAAAGCTCTCAGCGGTCAACAATACCAGCCAGCAGGTGAACCATTAAAAAGGTTGCCATCATTACAATTTTCTAAAGTCTATGCACTTAAACAAATAATACACGAAAGTTTAAACGTCACCGTTTTACGAAGACCGACCAGTTAGATCTCTGCGTTCAGCAGAAACCAGCACCCTCGTGTCAATCGCCCGAAATCTCTTTCTGTCTCTCTGTAGATCACAGTGAGTTGCTACAGTTTGTTCTCTAAAACCCTAGTTTCTGTATCTCTGTAAACCCTAAAACTCAGATTCTTAAAACAAACATTGTCTGTTCTACCCAAAATTACCCTTGGAAGTGTATACTAGCAAAACCCTAGATAAAAGTTTTTATTTTTATTCTCCCGAAACTGTTTATGTAAATTTCCTTCGGTTACCGGCTGAGTAAACTCTTTGACTATTCGCCCCTCGAAATTTCAGCCCAGAAGAGATCTTTTAAAGCTTCTGTTTTTTTTTAGTGTGTTCCTTTCAATCCGTGTCCGAGTTAACTCGTTTATTGACTCAGTGAGTCATAATACCGAGTATTTTTGAGGTGGAGGATGTTGATGTTGATGTTGGAGCAATATGGAGGGAATTGAAGGGATTGGTAGTGGAGAGAATGGGAGCTCGAGCGAGGGTCGCCCACCAAACCCTCTTACGACGCCGTATCGCAAGTGCTTAAACAATGATCGAGTGGTGGTCCCCTGTAAGAAGTCCTTGGTTCGTCATGCGTCTCTTGTAAGTCTCTACATTTCCATTTAGATTTTTTTATTGCCTTTTTGGAACTGCTTACAGCTTTTGTTCAATTGGAGGATATGTTTGACTTGAGGTAACTGATGTGCTGTTGTTGATATGATATAGTACATATAGGGAAATTATAAAAATTTGTATGCAAAATTAGACAATTGAATTAAGTTTATTTAGATGGATGAATAGGATATTAGAAGAACAGAAGAATTACTTTTATTTTTTTATTTTTTATTTTTGTCTCTTTTGAGAAGAGGGGTGAACAGTTGTGTATAACAAAGAAATTAGCGAAACAATAATGACAAGGATTCCAAATATTACATGCATAAATAAAGGTCAGAATTCTTTGATGATATTTCTTTAAATGAAGATGTACTGATTACCTATGAATCTTATAAGATACAAGAATCATGGAATTATTTGGTTGAGAGAGCAAGAGAGCTGCAAGGAGAGAGTAAAGGAGCTTCGACTAAGCGAGGGAAAGGGTGAGAATGAGAGACAGAGAGAGAGAAAGGGAGAGATCTCCATATCGGTTTAAGCAGAAGATTATGATTTGCATTTATTGTGATTTGTTCTTTAGCTGAGTGGTGGATATTTGTTGTGCACATAAGGTTTGTTTGTTTTAAATTATTAATTTTTGTATATATGTTTATCAAGAATATTACTATGGTTTTAGCAGATGAAGACAAAGACAGTGGAAATTTCTGTTGAACCTGTAGTTGGTGAAGAAAATCATGAGACCGAGTTCATTCCAATTGTCCGCTCTGGAGCATGGGCTGATATTGGAATTCGCACAAGCATGGAAGATGTATTTTTGTGTGTTGACAATTTTATGTTTAATTATGGGCTGAAGAATTCTACAGATGGTCCCAGTGCCTTCTATGGGGTACGTCTCTTCTGTTATTCTTACTGATGATTATACATATTTCTAATATAAGCTGGACTTAAGCATGCTATGAATATTGTAGGAAATTGAATATGATATGGTTTCTGGTTTGGCTGATTCGTAATGGGAATTGAAGTATGATATGAATAGACATTTCTATGATTGCGTATTGTGCAATTTCAACATTATTATCTTGTTGGTTAACAGATGTTTGATGGACATGGTGGAAAGCATGCTGCTGACTTTGCCTGCAACAATTTGCCAAGGTTTATTGTTGAGGATGAAGCATTTCCAAAGGAAATTGAGAAGGTTGTTACATCAGCTTTTCTCCAAACTGACAATGCTTTTGCAGAAGCTTGCTCCTTTGATGCTGCCCTTGCTTCTGGCACCACTGCATTGGCAGCTCTTGTTGTTGGGAGGTTAGTGTTTGTCTACCAACCAAATAAGTGATACCCCGATATATTTTTTCAAATTGATGTTAATATTCTTTTGAATTGAACATCTTTTTTGGTATCATAGTCTGATTCTATGTTTGGGAATTTAAATGCAACTGGAGCATATTTCAGTTTCAGTCATATTCAAATTAGAATATGGTTATGTAACTCAAAGCTAGATTATGTATCAATATCTAATGATATAAATACAATTACTTTTTATTTAAATACATAATATGTTAAAAATTTCAATGATTAATTTGAACTATCAGTTAATTTGTCTTTAATTGGTTTGACAGTAGAATGTAAAGTCATTCATTATATACAATCTGATGTGTTTTGGTACTGCGCAGTTCTATATAAAAAAATTCTAGTTAGCTTAGCACCAAGTAATAGTCTAATTCTATCTGAGTACTAAACAAGGTCCTTTGATATAAACCAAATCCATTTCTAAATCACGTGTATGAGCCTGTAGTTGTGATATCGAGTCATCTAAAACTGTATTTTTTTAATGGAATGAGGTGGAGCATGATTTTGAATTTATGGTCAAAAGTTGCTCCACTCAGAGTGGATCTCTGAGAGAACATCTTCGGTCAATATAGACGCAAAAGAAGATTTTCAACGAAGTGAATTATGGGAATGCTGTGTTTTCATAATATTTTTTGTTGGTGATTGTTCTGATTTTTACCTTGCTTGATTATTGGGGGTTAATTTCTTTCATTTGTCAGTGAATACCAAATTGTATTGATAATACATTATACAGTATTGATTGTGTGGATATTACTGAACCTCAATCTCTTTATTCTTGTTAATTTTTGTGGTTGCAGGTCATTGTTGGTGGCAAATGCTGGAGATTGTCGAGCAGTATTATGTCGCCGCGGTAAGGCAATTGAAATGTCAAGGGATCACAAACCAATCTGCATTAGAGAGAAAATGCGAATTGAGGCATCCGGTGGGTATGTCTATGATGGCTATCTCAATGGGCAACTCAATGTGGCTCGTGCTTTAGGGGACTGGCACATGGAAGGAATGAAAGGTACAGATGGTGGGCCACTTAGTGCAGAGCCTGAGTGTATGACTACAAAACTGACGGAGGAGGACGAATTCCTCATCATAGCATGTGATGGGATATGGGATGTGTTTAGGAGCCAAAATGCTGTGGATTTTGCTCGGCGGAGGCTTCAGGAGCACAATGATCCAGTCATGTGTAGCAAGGATGTTGTTGATGAGGCTTTGAAGAGAAAGAGTGGAGATAATCTAGCTGTAGTTGTGGTATGCTTCCAATCCCAGCCTCCCCCAAACTTGGTTGCTCCACGCTCAAGAGTGCAAAGGAGCTTTTCTGCTGAGGGTTTGAGGGAGTTGCAAAGCTTCTTGGACAGCTTAGGAAATTGAGATGGTGACGAATACTTTTTGTCTTTTTCCCTTTTAATTTAATTGTAGTCTTAGTGAGAATTGAGTTTCAACTGTAACATATGCAGCGGCAAATTGGTATCATATTATGTTATTGTTCTTGTGGGAATTTGATTTATCTTGTTTACGGCCTTTCCGTAGGTACAATTATTTACTGTTGTGTGGGTCTGGTACTTTCAGTTTGAAACTTTTGCATCAAACTGCACAATAATTGGCGCTACAGCCTACATGTGAGTTCTGTTGCCAGGGCTGCAACTTAAATTGGGCCTTTGATTATTATGTTGTATCGTCGACCTGTTGAATTTATGCGATTATTGGTTTCCTGATGTTGAAGGGTTATGCTTATGCTTATGCATCAATAATTTTTAAATTTCTCTTTTCCTATTAATTTTTCTGTCATGAATGCTTCCTGCAGCCCAATTATTCATCATTTGCAGTACAGGGATTGCAATACATGACACCTCATGTATTGATTATTGATAAGAATTTCTGGTTGTCTTGTGAACATTTAACAAGAATAACCTGGAGAGGTTAGCTCGACGGTTAAGGAGGTTTGTTTCATTCTTTGAGTTCTTGGGGTTTAAAACTTAAGGTCACCTATGAGTTTTTAGATTGAAATTTTGAAATCACTTATCACAATAATATTGTGTTTTATCTGGTCCTTTGAAATTGTAAGGTGTTCAAAGGATCCTAAGGATTAATTGAGGTAAACTTCAAAGAGACACAGTGAAGAGCAACCCAAAAGAACCTTTTTTGTTCTACATAAAGATGACAGTAGAATTCTTTGGTAATTTGATGTTTTGTTGTTTTTCATTCTCATATATATTTCTAGTATACATACAACTGAGATACATTACATGGTATAATATCTATATAAGTCCCTCACTTAAGAAGTTCTACTCATTATCACAATTGAATAGAAAATGAAGGAAAAAAAAAATCAAAACAAAAACACGAAAAAGAGATTTACAGTCTTCTTATGAGAGAGAGAGAGAGAGCCGCCTTACTCTAGCAGGCATTTGCTTGGATTTTGTAGTATGTTTTGAAGTTGAAAAGGGTCCTCATCAGNAAGAACCTTTTTTGTTCTACATAAAGATGACAGTAGAATTCTTTGGTAATTTGATGTTTTGTTGTTTTTCATTCTCATATATATTTCTAGTATACATACAACTGAGATACATTACATGGTATAATATCTATATAAGTCCCTCACTTAAGAAGTTCTACTCATTATCACAATTGAATAGAAAATGAAGGAAAAAAAAAATCAAAACAAAAACACGAAAAAGAGATTTACAGTCTTCTTATGAGAGAAAGAGAGAGACGCCTTACTCTAGCAGGCATTTGCTTGGATTTTGTAGTATGTTTTGAAGTTGAAAAGGGTCCTCATCAGACTTGATCATAAGTTTATGGTAATTATTTTTCTTTAACCAACCGTGTGGGGGTAAATATACAACATCCTCATCTTTTCTGGAAGTTAAATGCCTTAATGGCAAAGGCAAAACAGAATCCAAAAAACACAGTAATTCCAACCAATAAGAGACTAACTATACCCACCAAGTCAGAGTCATATCCAAAGTAATCGCTTACAAAATCTTTCACCTTCTCACCAGATTCTAATGTCTCATCTATATCTCCAAACTGTGAAGCTACCAGTCCATACAAGGTATAAGCCACTGGACAAATCCAATAGTACCATCTCCACCACAATGGCATCCTCTGTCACATTATAAGTTTAGTACTCATTAGTTCACGTTTTCTCTTGTAAATTCAAGGGAAAGAAAGAAAGAAAGATTTAGAGATTAGTTAACTTACCGTTCGAGGAACGATGAATCCTGAAAAGAGGTTCCACAGTATATAGAAGAAAGAAGATACTATGGCAGCAATGTTGTGATTAGGAGTAACAGCCACTGCCATCATCCCGTAAAATGTGAAGTATAAAAGTGTGAAGTACATGATGAAGAGATACCAAAAGAACTTGCTCACTGTCCAATCAAATCCAATCATAGCATATACTATAACTCCATATATAATTGTCTGTACTAAAATGTGGGGAAGCTCTATCACAACCTACAACACAATGAGACTCGGTGAGAAAAAAGATAAATCATATTTCCAATAAGAATTTTGCACTCATTGAATTTTACAGACCAACAAAGATAATATACCTGGCCGAAAGCATATGGTAGAGTTGAATACATTCCAGCTGCTCTTTCTCTGTAAAAGACTGTTCTTTCAATGGCCACAACTGGCTGCACTGATGTTGCATTTTGTGCGCCAATGAAGAGTACAGCAGCATACATGGAGCCCATTGCATTAAAAAGATCTTGTTTGTTTTTTCTACAATAACAAAATATTTTGCCAGAATTAGGGACTACGGGGTGAAAAAAAAAAAAAAAAAAATTCTTTGAAATGTGCAATTTGCATTACTTTTCACCATACCTTTTGGAACCAATATCCCAGAAAATTGTCCCAAACATCAAAGCTATGAAAGTTGTGAAAAAAAATCTAACTGCAGTGTAAGGTGGATTGCGCCAATATGACATATGCTGTTTCCACAAGCAAGCCACGCATTGTGTGTAGAAAGACTGTGAATATTTGGTTCCAAAGTAAAGATCTTTTGAACCTGGTGGAGCTGTACTTATTTCTTTGATCAATTCCTTGTTTCTCCTGCATTAAACATGATCAAATGTTATATAAAAATACACTGTGCAATATCATTGAGGCATTTTTTGATGTTTATTTTAATTTGTGAGACTTTGAGGTTATCCTACCTGTATAATTCTGAGTTTTTGTACATATCAGTGAAGTTGATTCCGAGAGCTGCTTCTTGTGATGCTGTTGTAACCTCCAACATCCAAGTTGCAGGATTATGACCATCTCTAATCTTAGGCACTCCTTCGATTCCCTTGATGAATGTAATGATTATTTATGTTAGTTGTTACTAGATGTAAATGAGAAACTACTCTAACCTCATTCATAGTTTAGCCTTACCTCAAAATACTCGATCAATTGGGAAGAATGGCGGCCTAGTGGACCAACATATATCTCTTCACCTCCTCGTTTCAACAGGAGTAGCTGCAATGCAACATATATATAAGTTCCTAACTAACCAAACCAGACTGTTAAGTCATGAAGATTGAAGAAGATAAATTACCTCATCAAAAGCATCAAAAATATCAATACTTGGCTGGTGGATGGTGCAAACCACAGTCCGCCCTGTATCCACTGTGTTCCTCACTGTTCTCATTACTATTGCAGCTGCCCTGGCATCGAGGCCAGAAGTTGGCTCATCCATGAATATTATTGATGGATTGGCAACAAGTTCTACTGCAATGGTCAGCCTCTTTCTCTGCTCAGTCGAGAGCCCATTCACGCCAGGCAATCCAACAAGTGCTTCCCTTATTGGGTTCAGCTCCACAAGCTCCATGACTTCCTCAATAAACATCTACAAATTATCATTTTAAAGTCCTGTCAACAATCTGATCTTCTCTGAGAACAGAAAAGAGAAGAAAATTGATAAATATGTAACAATACCTTTCTGGTATCAGAATTGACCTCTGAAGGCAACCGAAGCCAAGCAGAATAAAGCAAGGACTCATAGACAGTAACATGAGGAGAATGAATATCGGTTTGCTCACAATATCCTGATATGCGAGCAAATGTTTCTTGTTTTTTTGGGTACCCAGATATTGTGATTCTACCGGAGATATATCCACCTGTTTTCCTTCCAGACAACACATCCATTAGCGTGGTCTTGCCAGCCCCACTAACACCCATGAGAGCTGTGAGCACACCTGGCCTAAAAGCACCACTCACACCCTTCAAAAGTTCTAGTCGATCCTCAGGAATACCTTGAACTTTCATTTCCTGTAAACATAATTTCATGAGATCTTATTATGATTGAGATTGATAAATTGACATCTCCCTTTCAAGTTAAGCACTTTAGTGTACCTGCGGCATGTCCACTGCATATCTGATTTCGTCAAAAGCAATAGAATGAGGGTCAAAAGGAAGAATCATTCCTCGCCTTCTGTTATTCTCAGGTCCAGAAAAGCTTCCCACTCTTGCAGATAAAGTCCTGGATGATATATTTCTACGACTTTCATTTCCTCTTTCTGCATAGTTATCATGTGACTCAATGTTACAACTTCTTTAATTACCACAAGTTCATAAATCTTTCATCTCAATGACTCACCAGAAGAGACTGTTCCCCTCTGTGATAGCTCCATGGGGTCCCCTCCTTTGCTACTACATTTCTCATCGAAGGCCTCTTTGGTTAGTATTGCCTGAGGCTTCCCCAATGCTGCAGCAAATTACTCCGATTAATTATAAGAAATTTAACCCCCTACATTTTAGAACTCATTAAGAATAGAGAACTTACGATCAAGATACTTTAAAGCCATTGTAAAAAGGAAGTTGAATAGAAATACATATCCAATCAAAGCTCCTACTCCAATCCAATACCAATATGCTTGTGGGAAGAGCCCGCGACTCTTCATGACCTGAATTCCTAATGGTTCTTTAGAATTAAGAGGAATCTGCAACAGAAGATTATCAAAAGAATTAGCTATCATCCATCAATTTCTAAAACTTCTGTACTATACTTTAAAATAAGAAATTTATACTTACATGACTCCAACTTTTCCCCAGAAATTCATTTACAGCTATAGCATTCTGTCCATACATCATCGGCGAGAACCAATAACCCCACAACCACCAGCTCTTTACATCAACTGATGCAATTTAACAAAGTTTCCACTCTCAGAGTTTTATTCACATCTCCCAGAAGAAACTGAAAACCTTAAAATATTTAGGTTCAATAGAACTATTGACTCACCTCGTGATAAGACAAATCCCCCCAGAACCAGGACTGTTAGTAAAGCAAATGAACCAAATGTGTTTGCAACAATTATATTCCTTCCGACTGCTCCAATACATCGGAATAGTCCAGACGCCATCTGGTTTACACATAGCAGTATTAAGTACTGCCTGAAAAACCTGTCAATTGAAAATTTTCTTCAAGTTATGAATATCCAAAAAACTGAGACTGGAATTTTGAACGAGTGCTTTCATGTTATTCACCTTTCAATATTTGGATCATAGCCGATAACGTAGTAAGTTGTGAACACCCAAACGCCAACTTCAACAAAAGTGATTGGGATCTTAAGGACCCATGTAGGCAATGAGTACGCCCATGAAGGATAAAAAAGAAGGTCCCTTTGCTTGTA